TGTTGAAGTGAGACTCACAGGAAACAGATGAGAGGACACTACTCCAGTGGAGATAATGGACCAAGAAATGATGTTTGTGTTGAAGTTGTAAACGCTGAGTGGAAAAGGAAGTTTTGCATGGAAATAATTAATGAATTCACCAGAATTACAGAGACTACCGTCCGTTCCCAGAGACAATTGTCTAATGGAAGTGTCATGACTGTGAGTCATAAGGGTTTTTAAATGCAGTGTTTCCCCTACCATTGTATTAGGGGGTCGGCTCCGGTTTTTCCTGTTAGGGAGTTAGGCAGGATGCCTGTATCTTCTTTTCTTTTCTTTAGTTGAGGTAGCCTAAGGTATTTTGGGATTTCAATTCAATGTTCTGTTTATTGTTTTGCCAGCGCTCTCCCTGAAGATTACTTAGTTTTGTGTTCATTGTAAATAAATCGTCTTGTGGACTGAAGATTTCGTTTAAATTGTGATTAATCATTGGGAGTGAGGAAGGAGAGGGTCACTTTTGTGTTACGGCTGGTCGTAACAACAGACTAGGATTGATGGTTGCTGACACCCGTTTGACACCCGTTTGAGAGCCCCTTTTTTATTTGCTACATGATAGAATAAAGGGATGATCTTTTCTTCACACCACTCTGTCACAGTCACACCTAGTGCTCGATGTTATAACACAAATGTTTTAAAACATTCATTGTGTAAAATAGTGTTTATAAGGAGACGCCTGTGAGCGAGTTACAGCAGACAACTCTGTCATGACCCGTCTCTGGGTCTGACAAAAACCAGGGAAACGTACTGTTTAACTAAACAGTGTCAAAGATTATTTAACAAGATACTAAAAATAACATTTTACAAAGAAAGTGAGCTGTGTTTGTCAGTGAATCAGTGTGTCGGCTGTTGGGTGAGTGTGTGTATGTGGTGTCTTGTAAAACTGAACTAACAGAAGCAAACTATTTGTCATTGCCTTGCCGTCTTGTACCAGTGCTGCACTTGAATCACCCCAGCATCCACCTGCAGAGTTAAAGATATATCACTCCCAAATTTCTGTTTTTAAAATGCATGAGGAGTGACACGATCGAAAAACATAGACCCCAAACTCAGCGAGGCGACATGTTCTGCTGCTAAGATGAATATGTCAAACAATGCAAACGTGAGTTGTCTGATTGAAGTAGGGTTCAGTATTATTACTATGACTTATTTCAGTCAAATACATGCACATATCAACAATAGGGTAAACATTGCTAAAACTGTTGGATTTGTTAAAGCAGAAATAGCAGCAGATGAAGAACTGTGTGGGGGCCGAAAGAGCTGATTCTTATTTCTGAGCTGAGCCAAATGATCCGGATCACTAAAAAAAGCAGGACGTCCCATCACTAGATCAGATTTTCAAAAAAACAATGTCTTATAACGTCGACTACCTTGTTTAAATGTTGTTTTGTTTCTCCAACTAAAAAGTTGTCTTACATTTTGACCCGTCTGAATCCAGCCCCCTGCTGGGATCACAGTCATTCAGATTTATTTGGGATCAAAGTAATCACGGTCCAAGTTTTCAACGACACAAACTGAAGGTTTATTCAGTACAGACTGAATAACCGATCGGATCCAAGATTTTCAAGATTTGATCTGATCTAGATCAAGATATGATCTGCAAGATTTGATCTGATCTTCTCAGATTACTGAACAAAACTGGACCCGATCTCCAAAACACAACAACTCCTGTAAGTCCTCTCATCTTTAAAGAATGAAATGAACTCATGTGCTTCTGATTTTCTTTTTATTGATCTGAGCATTTTACAGCAGTAACAGCTCATAAAACTTATTTTTCTCTAACAGCAGAGTCTAATGAAGGAGATGTTGTGCTTTTGTTTGCTTGTTCATTTTTACACGTTAGAGAAACATTTAATCACAATTAATCTCCCTCTCTTCCCTTCTGCAGCACAGCATGCAAAATAACTTTAAACGTGATGCCGTCCTTTCAGGGGAAACACAGACATTTCAAGGAAATCAGCATCGGATAACTCAAAATCCAGAAGTATGACACGCTTATGAGCGTCATAAGATTATTCATTCTTTGTTGTGAAATAATTCTGAGTAAAGACGTCTTACTGGAGTTGCAGGATATTGTTTTACATTTTTGTACTTCTGTTCTGATTTAACTTAAGTCTGTTCTGCAGAGTCAGCATGTGTTCCCTTTTTATATTTCAGTGTAATCCTGAATCCTTCCACAGAAACAGGAAGTGAAAGTGAAACTAACAGGCGATGGGAAAGTCCGGGTCCTGATGTGGACCCTGACCCCTCAGTACTGACTGCTTACTGCAGTGGTGGTTCTAGACCACTTTTATTGAGGGGGCCAAACTGGGGCCAGTTGTTTTGTCAGAGGGGAACATTAAACCCAGGTGAAAAATAGACAAAGATGATCGCTTTAAAAAAAAATATATATATTATGCCAACTAATAGCACACATCATTAAATACCACAACATTAAATACCATGATTTATATTTGTTTCAGTAACAGAATTTAATACTAAATTGTGAGTCCGGTTGTTGAGTCAAATACTGTGTATGTATTATGGGGGGGGGAGGCTGTAGAGGCCATTTTAATCATGGTAACTTTAGTTTCAGAAGTATGGTTTAAGTTTGTGTTAATAGAGTATATTTTTTGTGTTGTAAGAAATAAGTATTTATGAGAAGTACTTGATTTGACATGGAAACCTTTATGGTGAATAATGGATTTATTTGGGCATATTTTGGCAGGTATTTTGTGTTATGGGTGGAGCCGAGTTAATTAATTTGGGTGCGATGCACAGGTGGTGAGAAAAAAGGTAGATCATTTTTGTTTGTGGATGGTGGTGGAGGTATAGGAGCCACGCAGCAAATGTTTTTTGATCGTGACCTTTTGTTATGAGTTTGATATATTCATTTTGGATCTGTTCTGGAAAGTGGAATTACAAATAAAATAAGAAATCAAGTTAAACAACGGATCTGTGAGTATATTTAAGTGGACACGCATCGGGAACGAACAGGTTGGCTCCTATGACACAAGTCACAATTTTTATATGACACACAAGAAGAAATTGCCACTACAGGGGGCTCTTCCTTTTGGAGGGGCGGCCACAGGGGGGACCAAGCTCAGTGTTACAGGGGCACTGGCCCCTGTTGGCCCCTGCCTAGAACCATTCATGGCTTACTGTGAAGACTCAGAACAAAGAGGGAACTCTTTACACATTGTTAATCTATCCACACAGTACTGGATCCTCTTCTGTATCTAAAACAGACAACCTACACAACAAATGTAGTTAAATATCAATTTAAAGCACATCTCTCTATCCTCAAGTCAGAAAAAAGTCCATCTCCTCTTGATGTAGTTTTCCAGGAGCGAATATCATAACATCTGTCCAACAGAGTATGGTTAAATTATCTCATGTTGTAGTTAACGACTTCACCACTAGATGTCACTGTTATTATGTTGTGTCCTCAGGAGGAAGGCTCATCTCAAGAGCCTGTTCTGTTTTTGTCCTTCTTTCAACATGATCAAATCCCGGGCTCAATTATACGGTGGCAGGAGAGGTCACACGCTCGGCAACTGTTGAAACATCAAACATTTAGAAAAACGTGCAGCATATTAAAAAACGCTGCACATTCAAAAGTAAACTCTCGGAACAAATGCACCGGCTGAGAAGCGCTGCAAAGAAAACAAACACGCTGCAAAAATGCAAAACAACAACATTAACATTAAAACAAGCTGTGAGTACAGAAACAAGTAAAAAACACAGGACCAGCAGATACACACGATGACAGAAGAGTGGAAAGCCTCTCCATATTTCTTTCTGCAAAGAAAATATGAACTTGAGCTATAAAGAACCAATAAAAATCAATCTGAAATGAAAATTAAACATATTATTTCACAGTTCATAGTAAGGAACTATAGCCTTACTGAATGATATTCTTCCTCCACGTACTGTACTGACAATTGTGTCTAAAGGTGTTCACCCTCATTGGTTCCTTCAATTATACATTTAATTTTCATTTATATCAAATTCATGACTGTGATTTACCAAATTGCGCTTGAGGATCTAGCTGCTGGGAAGTTGATCATTATCATTTGTAATATCTTAAACTACAGTGTTACTAGTAGAAAGGGGTTGAGAAAATCTGCAAGGAAAACAGAAAAAAACCCACATTTTATTGTCTTCAGGAGGTTACAGAAGCTTTTATCACTTTCATATAAATCTCTAAATAAAGAGCTCATAGACAAACAAAATATAACTAAAGAATAATGTCAGTATGTTTAATTGTGTTTACATAGCCTACTTCGAGGACCTTTAAAAACACAAAGCTTTCATTACTTGCTTTTCATTACTTTATTACAGAACAAACAAATAGGCCTATAGAAGAAATTAGTAAACACATATAAACACATTAAAAACATATAGGCCTACATAGGCTACAGTAACTCATATGACGGAGTAATAAAATCAATATTAAAAATGAAAAGCCAAGATTTATTCTCGTGATAAAATGTCAAATCACTACATGCAGAGAAAAAAATCATGATGTTCAGCACAAGTAGTCTATAACCATTTAAATACATGAGTTTGAAAAAAGAAAATTAGAATGTGGTTCCTATGACATGGTTCAATAGATTAAGTTTTGTGACACAAAATGCTGTGAGACTGGGTTGTTGCTGCAGCCTGGATGTGACCCTGTATAAACCAGCTCTCTCAGAAAGCTCTGTTCTGGTGTGTGTGTCTCTTAAAATGCAATGAGCCCCCCTGAGTTTTCTCAGTAGACATCACTCCTCTGTAGTGAGAATAAAAATGTCAGACATGCGCAAAAGTTTTGCTCTAGGCTGGGGGTGGAATCCATGGGTGGAGATACCAGAGGAGGGGAGGGGATTTTTTTTACCAGAATCCCACTGTGATGTCACAAGGAGAGCGAATTTGAAACTGAGCACGTTTCTCTGTGTTGTAAGACTTATGCAGTCCACAAACAAAGGATTGGATGGATTTATTTTACATTTTGTGGGTCAGTAGACACTCAGGTTACCCAAATATATGTTATATATTATATTATATATAATACAAACTACTACCCTGACAAACTGAACCATTTAATATGTTCAAGGTATGAGGAGCTGTGCGGTGGGCTTGCAGGGTTGCAATGTTCCCTGAACTCAAGGACTTTATGGAAAATTTAGCAATAAGCATCCAAACGATGATAGGATTTATTGCCACTCACCTCAGAAGGCTTCTTGACTGATTCAACAGATAGTTCCCTTTCTCATGTAAGAATAAATATATAAAAGAAAGAGAGAGCTGAGCCCTTCTAGCTCATTTATACCAGCTGTCACAGTTAACATTAGGTCTACAGTACTGTACTGTAAATTAAGGTGTTGGATGATGCAAGAGGAAAAGGTTCAACAAGCTTTGCATGTTTTAACGTCAGTCAGAAAGTAGTTAACATTCGCCCTCAGCCTCTAGCGAGCGGATAAAACCGTTAACGAAAAAGTGGCTGAATGCCAGAGTGAGAGAGCCATGACAGACTTATTTTGTAATACAAACATATGTGATCACTGGGGCACTGGTGGCGCAGTGGTTAGTGTGCGTGTTAACTGTGGTCCTCCAAGTGGGCCCTTCCCACATGTCATTCCACTCTCTCTCTCTCTGATTTCCGGATGATAGTGTGAGTGATATTTGATCACTGATTAGCTACAGTTAGACAACAGCCAGTGTTTAACCACAGTTAACATTACTTCAATGTCAATGTCAGTATGTAATGTCATCCGCCATCTCTTGCAAAAGATAATATTAGCTAGAAGATTGATAAATACTAACATTAGCTGTTGTTTGATGGTAACTAATATGTTTCATTTTTTTAAATCTATTGTGTTCTCAGTGGCTGCTCAATTTTGAAGAGGATGAAAGGAAGGATTTATCTTAGTTAGTACATCTTCATAAACTTTAATATACAGAATTTGAGCCTCCCTAAGACATCAGATGGAAATGGAAAAAGTGGGATTTTGTTGAACTGCAGGTTAAACTAAACTCATCTTGTTGTGTGTCTTTGGTCTGAAGCAGGCTTCAGCTTTGAACCCAGCCCTCCAGGTCATCATAGACTCTGTTTGCTGGTAAATGGGGGTATTGAACACAGATTTGGCACAGCCTTTCTATCCAGTCAGTGTATGTCTTTACTCTGTGAGTGTGATGCCACTGAAAGTACTGCTCATACGCCTTCCTGTCTGCAGCCACAAGCTTCAGATATACGGCCAGATCTTCTGTGCTCCTGAAATCAGAAATATGGATGAAAGAACCAGGGGGCGCCAGGGCCTCATAGGTGGCCCTGCTGGGGCCAAGGACCACCGGTACAACACCTGCTTGGAAAGCATTCCTCCAGAGCTTCTCGCTGATGTAATCAGTGGCTTCAGAGTTCTCAAAAGAAAGGTAAAAAAAGCACTTTGAGATGGTGGGCAGCAGCTTCTTGTTTGACAGGGGTTTCTTGTTCCACCTGCCGTACACCTGTATGGGGATGGACTTCTTTAGACTCTGGTAAACAGCAGCTCGAGCCTGCTGAGGCTGGTACCTGCTCACCACCCAGCCCACCAGGCAGGAGCGGTTTGGAGCCGCTGTAAAGGCGCGTCCATCACCTCCTAACACAGTCTTTCCATAAGGGACAGATATGTCTGCGTCTCGTCTGTAACTCATAGTCCAGTTGAAGAGGCCGTTGAGCTGTGAGACATTCAAGTTGTTGACCGGAGGCTCCATGGACAGCCAAACCCAATACTGGGAGGCGTGGCGATCCCGGTGCAGAGGCAGCAGGGAGCGGCCTCTGCTCAGCTCCTGGTGATGGAAGATGACCACGTCTGCAGACGAGAAGGTGGAGGTGTTAGCAGTGAGGAAACAACGGCTGATGTTGTACTTTTCTAGACATTTGTCTCCACGGAGCCTGAAGGAGCGTCCAAACGGCCAGTGCCACAGCAGGATGCTGATGTTCCTCTGAGGAACATCTTGGTGATATTTGGGCTGAAAGAGCGTCTGCTCTAAGAGGCTGAAATAAAGGAGAGACGAGCTGAGGACGAGGAGGAGGAGGAGCAGGAAGACTCGAGATCCACAGATAAGTGGTGTGAAACTCCTAAAGAGGAAGGAAGGGTAGATCAGAGATTTAATTCTGCTTTCATTTGTTCCCATGAGGGCAGGAGCTGCAGAGGGCACGATGCAAAACACGAAAACATCCGCTGCTGCGTCACACATCACATTCTCTTTTAATGCACAAATTGATCACTTATTTCCTCTGACTCCATGTGTGTCTGCTCACTGATTTAGGTGAAGGTAAATAAATAATGTGCGTCTAACAAACAAATGTGAAATATTTTAAGAAAGCTGTAGTTATTATCAGGAGTTTAATAATGAAACGTTTGGATAGTTATTTTGTAACTTTGTGAAAAAAAAGCGTGTGGTCTGTTTCTTCCTCTTAGTGTCAGTTTTGATTCTGCTCAGTTTTTCCTTTTCTCTGTATTTCATCATCAGTGTTGCACAATTCTAACTGCTCTTGAATTAACCGATATTTAAAAAAATTTGAAAATCCACCAGATCAGGGTGGAGCAGAAACTAAAAACCCCACAAACTCCCAAAAGTTGAATCTCCATTTCTGAAGTTTCACACACATGAAGTGGATATGATGTAAAAGATTTGTGGTGATTTTTATAGTTTGTTTGTTTCCTCCAGGTTTGAGTTGATGCATTTGAAGATGTGTTTCAGCTCCAAACTAAACAAGCATATCTTTAAAAAACATCAGAAGAATTTGTCTTTCAAATTTGTTCTCTTACGAGCATGTTGGCTATAAAATTCCTCTTTGACAAGCTTTTGTAAATGAGGATCTTTTCTTTGACAGATGGTATTGTCAGAGTAATCAAAGTTTTCTACATAAGCTATTGGTTACAGATTGAATGTAATAATTAAAGCAGGTAAATGTCAGAATTATTAAAGCACAAATATTGAGGCGAATAATTTAAAATAAGTCACTTTGTGAGAAGCTCATTGTGAAACTGTTCAGTGTGGGTCGATAATGAGGCATCTTGGGAAATGAAACTGGCAGAAAGAAGATGGCACACCCTGGTAGCTCGCAGTGTCAACATGGTGATAAACCCTGCTGAGTTTGTAACCCTAACTTTATAGAAAGATATCAAAAATCAATACATTTGAATTTGAATAAAAAGAAGAGGTTTGCAGAGACTTTGGCACTTACCTGTGTGACATAATAGCCGTCTGTCTGCTGCCCGTAAATCTTCATCCTAGTCAATACATCCTAGAATATTAAAAAATCCTGCCGCCTTCATGTTTTTCACTTATCTTTTGCTTCATACACCCAGCTCGTTGTTGGCCAGAGGTGACTGCTGACAGTGATCATAAGTCAGCAGAAAGAATTAAGAATTAAGAGTGTGTCACACGCTTTAATTTCCCTCTTAAACTACTCAAACATCTGCTCTGTGCGACAACTCACTCATTCAGCAGTGAGTGGCATAGCCAGAAACACTGCTGACATATTCACTAAACCACAAGCTGGTCTTCCTCTTCCTGTTCATGTGTGTGTGTGTGTGTGTGTGTGTGTGTGTGTGTGTGTGTGTGTGTGGTTGCAGAGGAAAGAGGCACAGAGTTACACACTCCTGTTGGCACAGACCACATCATAACGTCTGCTCAAGCTGCGTCGTCGTCACACTTTTATTTTGAAGGACAGTCAGATGCAAAAACCTGATCTCTCTTTGTAAAGTCCTCATCTTTAATTACTGCACCAATTTAACTCAAGTTTCAGTCAATAATGAAATGTACAATGTGCCAAATTGATTCATGTTTAATTATTTTTTGTTCCTGCGATTAATCAAAATGTGCCGAGTGGACACCATTCACAGCTCTGATCTGATGTAACTTTAACTTTCTTTAAATCACTTTAATCAAACAGCAGACACACAGCTTCACCATCGCCTTTTATCTTACATCTAATCTCCTAAACAGCCTGTTTTCTTCTGCTGGTGCACAGTTTCATCTGAATGTGATCACTTAAATATCAGAAAATCACAAAAAGCTCTGACTCTTAATTCTGTGATTTACTCGTGTGCACCAAACAAGTGTAAAAAAAGAGTTATTTTTCTGGGTCACTGTGAGATCATTTCCTCTCGTGCCGATTTTTTTACTTGATTTCTCACCATGTGTACACGGGAGGACATGGCATTTACATTCCAGCAGAATACAAAACAAATGATGTACATTTTGTGTAGGCTTTGGATTTCATGAAGATTTCTGATATGAGAAATATGGCTCATGAAGCCGACACAGACACAGTCATTGATATGAGACTCTGCTCTGTGGTAGCAGCTGCTTTAGTATTGATGGGCGTCGACTATCAAAGAGTCAAGGTATTAACTTTTGCATGTGGGCTCAATGTGGCCTTTAAAGTGGCTAATCTGAATGATATCAATGGGCAGATTTTGGTTCTGCAGGGGTCCCAAGTGGGTTACATTCATACTTTGCAGTCTTATTTGGAGCCTCATCCTTTGGACCAGTCGGCTCTCCATAGACACATGGAAAAAAAATAGATGTGTTTTTTTCTCCTTTTAATCAATTCTGGTAAAAGTGTGGTCTAAAAATACAGATACAAGTGTGGCTGTGATGAGGAAAATGATCTGAAATAGAGTGATTGAACTTTTACATTTGTCTCAAGGAATAAAAAACTGTTTAATGTATTTTTGTTTGTCCTGAAATTATAAAATATTATGGAGGTTGTAAATGATAATCCTAATATAAATAATCACCTTTGTTATCATTTTTAAAGGAGACACAACACTTTTAAACTTTTACTGAAGAGATCATGAGTAATTCTGCAGATGAATATGTTAAAAAAAGTTTACATTCTGCAGCTCCATCACATGTAAAACATTTTGTTTTTAATTGCTCTACCAACATGCAGAGTAAAAAAAACTGAGCCTCCAAGAACCTTTTGCATGAATCACTGCATTACTTTGAGTGGGTGTAATAGATACAATGTTAATATGATGTTCACAGGTCACAGGTCAATGATTCTTCTCAGCCACTGGGTGGAAGTGTTGCCTTAGGATCACGAAAGATGAGAGGAGAGCCTCGTTTGTAAAGCTTTTTGGGGATAATGCTTAAAAAAGAGAGAAAAAAGCACAAATTCACAGAATCTAATCACTCAGAAAAGCATTTAATCTTTTTAGAAAAACACAAATAAATCATAGCGGTGAAATGAGAAAAAAAAAAACAGCTGATGATCTGAACTCATATAAGACTAGATTAACCTGATAACCATTCTGATCTCTGAGACTGAACATCAACAAAAACAGCACACACTGTCAAATTGGTACAAATATTCAGACTTTAATATAAAAACAAACCTGTTAAAACATTATGTCATATATTGTACCTCTTTTTAACTTAACCTTTATTTTAATTTGAAGACCATTAAGATTACAATCCATTTTCTAAAGATTACCTGCTCAGGACAGTGCAAATTCATTTAGCAGATGCTTATATCCAAAGCAACGTACATCAGAGAGTTTGACCAACACAAGCAAGGATCTAGTAAGGAGTCAGTAAGAGCAAACGATCAGCTTTAAGTCTGATCGGACACACAGGTGCTGACAGGAAGTGCACAGAGGCAAAGCACAACATCGACAGCTGTTCTTGAGAGTTTTAATCAGCATCAAAACTATCCCAAAATCACCATTATCAAACAAAACCATCGTCATCATCATCTTATCACTATCATCATTAATAATCATTAAGAGCGAATGTGTTCATAAAAGAGCTGGCTCTTTAGCTTTGTCTTAAAGGTGCAAAGGGACTCTGAGGTGAAATTGAGTTTGGTAGTTCATTCCACCACCGGGGGGCGACAGAGGACATGAGTCTAGTTCGAGACTTTGGGCCTTGTTGACAATAAGACGCCTTTCATTGGCAGAGCGTAGTGGGCGGGAGGGAGTGTAGACCTGGATGAGAGAGTTAAGGTAAGGAGGAGCTGTTTTTGTCGCTGTTTTGTAAACGAGCAATGAGCATCAGGGTTTTTAAATCTGATGCGAGCAGTAACTGGGAGCCAGTGGAGGGAGATGAACAGCGGAGTGACAAGACCAGTCACACTGCTGTATATAAATAAAACTAACTAGATAAAACGATTCAAGTTTATTGATTCATATAGCGACTGTGATGTGGACATGGACAGGGTTCAAGGTTCAAGGTTTCTTCTTGGTTCCTAGAAATGTAAATTTGTTGTGCAGACACTGACAGGAGATTCAACATTCCAATATACATAAAACACATATCAATACTAAATCAAGGTTAAAAAGACCAGAGAGAATACATTAGCACAAACACTGTCGATAACATCAGGTCATGGCAAAGTCCTTACTCAGACACCCACTGAAACGTTTAAAATATCCTGACTTTGTTAAAGTGCATCATCTTGTGCTAGCTTTGTGAAGAAGTGCTAAAGCTGGAGGTGCAAAAGTGTTTCAGTAGCATTTTGTTCTCTCTTAGGCGCAACAAACTGAAACTCCCCGTTTAAGGGGTGAGAATAGTCATGGAGAAAAAAAGGGAGAACAAATGCAGAAAGTCTTGAAGACAAACTGATAAACATAAAGTTAACTACGGTGGCTGGGAAGTGCGAACCAAAAATGAAAAAGTGTGAAACACTTTTGCAAAGCTTGAGACAAGTTTACATTTTGGTAAAATTTTTCACATTTTATAAAACAAAATTACAAAAGCAGAACACTTTTACCAAGGACAAATTAAATTAGCATTTTAGAAAAAAAATGTCAAGATATGAAACACATGAGCATAGAGACAAATTTACAATCCGCACTAAAACTTTTACCAGTCCCCAAACACATTTACAAACCACAGAATCTTGCCGGAAAGGGAATTTACCAAATGCTGGAATTGACCCTTAAGGGGGTTTGATATCCAGCTTAGACAAAACACCGAACCCTAAATTCCCCTCCCTGTGTCAGTTGCATGTGAATGTGTAGGATTTGGGTTAGTTAATACCGGTGGACACTTCAGTGTTTGAATGTGGTGTGACTGTGTATAGGTGTGACCTGCAGTGGGAAATGCACTTTGAGCAGTAAGAGACTACAAAATAAATGTACAATCTCAAGTCAATTTACCATTTACCATGTCATTCCCCACTCTCTCGTTAACTGATTTTCTATAAATGTACCTATGGAGCCACTGAAGTCCAAAAATGTAAAAAAAAAAAAAGAAATCTTGTGCGCCCAAGTTAGTATGTTTTTTTGTATGAATTACAGTATTGACACCACACCCTTTCTGCTAACTGAAGCACACATTTAACTTCTGATAAACCTTCAGAGATCACTCAGAACAGTCCAGTCCCAAGCAGAACAGGTTCTTGTGTTGCTATGAAGCAGAATCTAACAGTGATAAAATGTTCATTAACTGTCTTGATTTGGGTGTCAACTCACCTTTCCTCCACTACTCTGATAATCAGTGGAAGAACGCTGTAAGGAGCCACATTTGTCAACAGCTATGAGCTATGAATCATGACGTTACATTTACTCTTTTACATCAAATAAATCTTCTTAGAAAAGTGAACACTTGGACATAAATCATCATGATAATAACAAATTATCAAAACAGACTCCAGATTTGGCTAAAATGTATTTAATATATACTTTAACTTTATACTTTGACCAAAATCCAATTTGTTTCATGGAGAAGGCGGGGCTTATGACCTATACTGCAGCAAGTCAGTAGAGGGAGCTCTAAATATTTTTGCTTCACTTCCAGACGGCTGTTTCTCTGTCCATCTTGATATACGGTCTATCGCCAGTACCAATTTAAATGAATCTACTATTACACATAGCTGTTCTATCTCTGCCCCCCACTTTATATTTATTTCTTTATTTTCTTTTATCACGCTGAATACTGCTGCTTTTTGAGTACTATTTGCTTTCTCCCTTTGGTCATTTAAAGGTTTGATTATAATTCTTTTGGAACTGTAAAATTGCGTAAAAAGGAAATATTCTTGAAGCGGCAATGAACAGCTTTTTTGGGAAAACTTTGACCCCTGGCCCCCTGGCCATGGACAACCCCTTTGACGAAAACTCAAGTTTTTATTTAGGCTACATTTAATATTTGAGGTGTCTACAACACACAAACCAAACTTGGGTAGGATCTGAGGAAACCCCTTATAGGAGTTTGTTCAAATACAGACCCTGTAAATTGCTGTAAATGGGAATTAATTTGAAAATCAAAAGAAAACACCTGACTTCCTCTACATTTTTCACCATGACAACACAAGTTCTTTTTGTACGTCTGATTCATAAGCCTACCAATTTTCATGCATGTAGCCTAGTTGACAACATTTCCAGGGACTGAATTTTTAAATATATTTTAAAGGAGCACTGCATTTAACTACACCGTTTAGCAAAAGCACAAAGCTATAACAAGTAGGCTATATTTCTGAAACTTCCATTACATTCACACATTTCATTGACTTTCTGGGCATGTTAGGGCCTCAAATAAGCAATTCATTTGGTGTCAGAATAATAAAGCCTCAAATTCCAAGAGTTCTCGAAGCACTGTTTGTGCTCAGCCCTTATAATAATTTATCTTTCATTATCTCTCAAGACTTAGTTTATACCTCTTGTGTTACTTAACCCCTCCTCGACTGTATTAGGTTAATACATTTTGATTAAATTTAGGACATAAACAGTTCAATTTTAGCTGTAGAAGGGTTTAACAAATTGCCAATAAATAAGGAGGGCTTTTGTTTTTAAAGGACAGGCCGGAGGTGGCTTCTGTCGTAATTCTGGATCACTTGACTTGAAGCTGTTTCACTGACTTCCTGCTCAAACTCTGAGCACTGTGGAGCTGATCGGCCGGTGCTTCACCGACACACGGAGGATGACAGTCCCGTTACGACTTTTACCGACGCTCTCTGGGAGATTATCATTTCCCTCTACATCACACTGAGTCTGTGATTAATTCACCAAATATTTACTCTGAGCCGGGAGCGAGACATTTGAGCAGCGTGACAGGCTCGGACGGGATGCTCGGAACCGGGAGAGATATTCCCAGGTTATTTGGATGCAGTCACAGGCCACCGCCGCCGGTCTGCTCGTTCGGTACATTTAGGACACAGTGAAGCAGAAGCGGGAGGCAGACATGGGCTTCATGCACCAGCTCCATCTCCTGCTGTGGAAGAACATCTCCCTGAAGAGGAGGGGGCCGGTAAGACTTCACATTCACACACATGACAGCGTGTGGAATTACGTAAAAACGCGCTCTGAGTATCGTGTTTGTGTGTTTGAATGCAGACGGGCGTCGGTTCAGCCTGATCCTGTCGCTCCGTGCATATCCGCATCTCTATTCCCAGCACCGGCTCTGTGTTTACTAATGTTCCCGTCAAACGTTAGAATAACACCGCAGTGAGCTTACACAGGAGCAGGATGATGATGAGGATGATGATGATGATGAAGGGGATGTAGCAGGTTGACTGATCCTGATCTATGTGTGTGTGTGCATGTTGTCAAACAGGTTGTTGTGCGGAGATAAACAACTGTTGTGTAATAAGGGTTTATATGCTAAAAAAAGGCCCATACAGTATAAGACCAGGATGTTGGAAGGTAATGAAGTTTTTATTTTTATTTTTATCATAAGCATCAATAAATATGATAGGCCTGATGTAACCGTGACTTTACAAGATAGATAAATCGTGATGGTATGAGCCCACAACACATAGACTACATATTGATCAGTAAGGAAACACTCTTTAGAGTTCTTATAAATATGTTGATGTATGACTGGAATATTTATGGACAAACAGCCTCTTTGTTTTGCTACTTGTCCTCATGATTTTATTTTTGGGTAACAGCTCCTACTATACCTCTCAATAATTAGATGAAAGATGAAAAATATTTGGCCCCTGAAAAAATATGCTAGTTTAAGAGACATTCTTTTTTTCCCCTTTTTGGCCTTTTTTTGCCCTTATTGTGGACTGAGTTGGAAAATCAGGGAGAGAAAGAGGGGGAATACATGTCAGGAGCCACAGGTCAGACTCGAACCCTGGCCGCCCGCCTGGAGGACCACAGCCTCCATACATGGGGTATGCACCAACCACGCCACCCCAAGAGACATTCTTTTGGCTTATATTAATTCAATAAAACATGAAAATATATCCATTATCATTTCCATTAAGACTTTCAGTTAGGGGAGTGATGATGACATGACTGTTGGCACTTTTTCTAATTTTATCAGTTCAGATAAAATACTCTGTGAAGTAATGTCAGTACCAATCATGGTCAGTTTACTGAAAATTATTAACTAGTTAAAGTAACTACTATTAAAAAGAACTGAGTTACTGCATTATAAAAGTAACTATTAGTTACTTGGCAAAGTAACTTTGGTTTAACTTTCTCTGCTTCAATACTCATATTAATGTTCACATTATTTAGTGTTGCTGTGGCAGTACATGAGGAAACAACTCGCACATTCACACATTGAAATGTAGACTGTTCCGCAAGGCCATGCAATAACACTCAAATTACTAATACACATATATACAGTAAAATAGTATATAATGTAAAATTTAATGTATTTTCAAATAACATTGTAGTCAATTTCAGTATGTAGGTATTTTGCAAATTATTTCTCTGAAGCTAACCTATTCAACAGTTGAAGCATGTCGTCAACAACATACCTTACTATCAGTGTGTTTAGTCGTGGCTTACAGATCGTAGAGCTGGTGGTGATTTAAAATCACGCCTCGTCTGTTTGGATGGAGTTGATCCTCTTTGGTCTGCTGAGCTAACGTGAGCTGCTCCTGCGTCTCCAGGTGTTTACTGCACCGCGCTCTGTGACCGCTAGTTTAGTATAAATGTGTTGTTTAGCTCGGTGCTTCATGAGATTAGAATGGCTGTTCTTGGCAGTGGAAATAGTTTTCCTTCCTGCACATAGAGGACTACATTTAAGTTGTTTAACTGGAGCAGGGAAAGATCATGCTGACATTTTAAAGACAGAAAGCTCACGCCTCAATGATCATCAGTTTGTGTTTACTGTGTGATATTCTTTCTCCCAGGAGGCTACTGATGTAACCTCGTCTGTCCAATCGACGTCAATAAGCTTTAACTTTACTCAGCCTGTTTTTGTGATATTTCACTTAATGTAACGAGTAACACGTGCTTTCAAATTTCTGAAATTGCAGAGGCATTCTTGAATTTGAAAAATTAGATACACTCCCACTTCTAGTTACTGCACATAGTAGCTTTACTGTAACACCACCACACTAAGTAACGCGTAACTTAGCGTTAGCGAGTTACTAAGTTACTCCCAACACTGGTCATTACCATTATTGATTTAATTTGTTTAAATACATGACTTTTTTTTCTTACATTTACTTCAGTTTAACAAGGACAGCTTAAGTTTTTATTATCAGTAAAAATCAGTAAAAAGTGATTTTGTCATGGTGAGGATTTAAAGAATGCTTATTCCAGCAATAAGGATGCTAATGCTAACGTGGTTAATACATTGTGCTGCCGAAACAAGGAAGATAAATAAGTTGAGGAGGAAGATTAAAAAAAAGAGGGCTGTCTAAACTAGTGAAGGGTATGTTCATTTTCATTGATGACGTTACATCCTTATCCAGACTCCTTCATAATCCAAGTCTTTATCAGAACCACTTTTGATACTTTTATTTTATGTGATGGAAAGTCGAGACAAGTTATTAACTAAACTGCTGGGAAAAGCAACACACGAGGAGTTTTCCACGGGGGGAAGGGAGGGAGAAGCAGAGAGAACTCCCATGATTCCCCACTAGCCTCAATGTCATCTTTTGTTATTGTTTTGATTGAGAGCCCCTGGCGGCGGTTTTTGTTTTGTTATACCACAGCAACAAAAATAAAAGATTTAGGCACCTGATATTGGGTTCTGTGTTTTTAATTACATAGCAATGTGGGCAAACTCATGCACAGTGTCCAAATTGCACAAATACATTGGCAGTGTTTCGTTACCAAACGTTACAAACAGTTTAGACAGTGTTCTCATTCTCTTTCGCTCGCCGCAGTTTTTAACCTGTGGTGTCAAAAAGTATAGAAGTATTGAACATTTTGACAGCCTCAGTTTCTAGTTGCATCACTCTCATAACATCATCTTCAGATCGAACGTGGCAGCCGTTCAGATAAAAATATGTTCATATGCTGAGTCTTTTAAATGTCATCCTCCAGATGTGTGGTGCAATCTGTCGTCATGATGACCTCAACATCCTCCACATTGTGAAGCCTTTAAGCCGTGCTCGGTCTATTATTAGCCATCAGAAACCCTAATGCCTGTCAGCGGCTTCATTTTGTTGATGTTTGTGCTGTTTAAAAAAAACAAAAAAAAAACAAAGCTGTATCCGTCCTCAGGCAGCCTGATTTTTATCTCTGCCTGATGCCTTTGCTGGTGTCCTGATCGAGGGGTGGTGTATGGGGATGAAGATGGAGGGGAGTGGGGGGGGGCGGCTATTTTTAGCCCTTCTACCTTCCTACATCACAGTGGGAGGAGGCACGTGCGGTGCATTGGGGAGCCTCTGTAATAATAATAGTAACAGCTGCGTCATTTCTGTCTGTAGATTTATAACCATGCCGCTGTGGTCCGGCTCACTGAAGCTGTCCGCGGGGATTGATGATGAGAGCAGAACGTCAAGTCAGCACTGAGCTCAGAGAGCTTCAGTCCCTTATGTTGGACCCACTCACAGATATAAAGCTCATGCATTAATTAGAGGAGCATCCAGGCCCAGATATGAGGATTATATATGGATTTACTTCTAAAAGATCTTGTAGGACTTCTCTTTAGGAAACCATGCCGCACACAAGGGCATTAGAACTGGTTGAGTGGTGTTGAGCTTTTCACAATTGTAAGGCATTTTTATTACTTTACACTTTAACTGAAAGGAAAATATTCCTTTTACTTTGGGCAGATATGCACATTAGGGCCTGAGCGATATGGGGTTTTTGGGGCTGATTCCATTATTGATATTGGAGAGAGTTAAAATCGTATACCTAAATATCTGCAGATATCATTCTTAGATCTATGTTCGATCAGTAGAGATAAATAGATATATACACATTTATTGTTTTGATCCCTTAAATTCAGTTATCAAACACTTGTGGAAAAGATATATAACGTAGACAAGATGGTCACTCAACTGGAAAGTCATTGCGCATGTACGTATACGTCACAGCTTGACACTCTGGAGAGTGATGATGCTTGTTGTAATCTGTATAGCACCCTCTTAGTCCATGGGCCAGTCAATCTTTCACTTGGTGACAGCCAGAAAGATAACTGATAATGTAATTTAGCGATACTCAAATGAAATGCTATTTGACTGGTAAATAAACCTAGTAATATCAGTGCATATCTGCGATAAAATTAGCTAATATGATAGTAACTGGATATGCTAATATCGGCGGATATTATCACCTGGCCAATAAATCAGTCAGGCTCTAATGCATACTTCTTTTTGACGGATTACAGAGAAAATGTGATACATTGTTATTGATTCAACTTCAGGGCTTTTATTGGTCTTACACAATGTGGCTGTTCAATACAACAGATCCTTCTCTGTTTCAGTTTGGCACTGCACCAAACTCTATCAGCCTACACGAGTCTCACGTAAGATGCATGTTTGTCAGAATTGACTAAGAACAACAATTTTCCGACACTGAAACATTTTCAACCAACTATTTTCTTATCGTTTGAAGTCACCTTATCATTGTTCTGACTTTATAATGGATACATGACTTTGGTCAGCTGGTGAGTTGGGCTGCCGAATAAATGCAATTTCACCATTATCTCAATATGAGCATTTGTGATAAACGCATTGCAAAAGTCTGAATTTATTTCAGTGAATAATGAAAAATATTGAATGTAAAAAAAGTTGTGCTTTCTCACTCAGTGTGTATACACTTTACCTGTTGAATGCAGCCTGGGTGGAGCATGATTTTCATGCTTTCAAGTCATTACTATCAGCTACCCTCAAATTAATTGTGCTAAAAAAGAAGGTCAGAAGAAAAAAATAAAAGTGAATTAATTTTCATTCTGGAAAATCATGCTGCCAACACAGGTATTATGTAAAACAGGAAGAATAGCAGATAGACATGGAAACTGGGGGTGGTGGCTGGGGTGGGGCTTTGCCTTAATTAGATAGAACAGCTGAAGAGAGACAGGAAATGTTGGGAGGAGAGAGATGGGGA